ACATTACTGTTCGTATGTAATGAAACTAAATAAAAACGTTCTTTATATACAGATTACTGTTGCTTTATTAACCAAAACATTTTATAAAAATATTCTATTAATACGAAACACGTTAACAGTGGCCACGACAATGGTTGTCATAGTTTTTTGCATACATTAAATTAATTAGTATTACATTGACCTAAACAATAATTATCTTATTAATACAAATATAGGACATTTATAGGTAGGTTAAAGATTTAAATAAACGCTTTAATGCTAATCTGTGGACAGTAGGTTCAAACCTGTACAGTCGAAACCAAGCACGAACTGAGCATAAAACAACAAATAGCTACAATATTTATACAAACTGCGCCCAGAATTAAAATTTGTGTTTTTAAAAAAAATATCAAGATTTCCCAAACCACGGGTGTATCTTGTGTCATCTATAGAAAACGCCCAGTTGGCTGAGTAAACATATTTTTAAATATTAAGTTATAGTTTAGCTTGGGATGTAACGTTATTATTCACGGTTACGATCAATACATATTGATGATATATTGTATCGAATACCATTAAACTATTACTGATGAGTTTTCTACGTCTAACTATTAGTCAGTAGTCAGTAATTGACCGTAACTAACATTTGTAACAAAAATCACGGCGTACTTATAATACAATTATATAATACTATACAGTATTATATGTATATACAGTATATCACCAAACAAAATAATATATTTAGTACTATAACATTATAATATTTTTAACCAAACATTCGGAGAATAATAATAATACTAAATCGTTGTGCGAGTTTAGATGTAACATTTTAGTGTCTTGGAGATGGGCTGTGTGTGTGCATAGTATATATGATACAGTGTTTTTGTACTATTTTTTTTAAGGTAAATATCAAAAAATTTATGAAAAAACAAGTTTAGTAAATAGTTATAAGATTACACGTTGGCGTGGTTGTGGTAAACAAACATGACGTTGTAAAAAAAATATGGTTTGATACGAGCCTGATGGCCTCATTTAGCCCGCCGGTGCTATCGCTGACAACCGGCTGCCATTATGGCATGATGGCAAAAACCACGACGGCAGACCGATTCAAAGATTTGAAATGCACTTATCTGTTTGCCGCACTGGTGCACATGCGATTGATAAAAATCATACTGGAAGATCGAAACATACCTACCAGCACACCGGTCGAGCTATTGGTCAATTACAACATCCGAGCGGTGATATGCACACTGTACGGCGTGGCCGACGTGGAAATCGGCGTATTGTGGCTGCTCCTTTTGTACATGAGCACAGTGAAGTGTTATCACCAACAACTTATCGTCAACAAAGCCGACCGGACTGCGGCCGTGGACAGACTGGTGGTCATCCACGATTACGTGATAGTCAAAATGCAAAACGAATTGACGGCTGACGGTTGTCGACCGGGCAATTGGTTCGATTCGTTCAAAAAATGGTACGCGTGGCAGGTGCTATGCATGCCGAGCCAAACACCTCATTTCTACTTTACCCAATGGGAAGTGTTAAACAACTGCTACAACTTGGACATACTTTTGACACACAACGCCATCAACACACAATTCACGTTTGGGGCGCAGTACGACGCGTTGTGGTCCACACAACTGTTTCTCAACAACCTGGGCATCAACCCAGTGCTCAAGTACAAGCTGTTATCCTCGTATGACGTAAAAGTCGTAGCCTGTTCAAAGGCATCATGTACCGGCTGACGTGGCAACATTTATTGTTCGTAACTTTATTATATTATTATAAAAATATTTGAAATTGCTGTAAAATTTAAAAACTTCATTATCTACGGGCTACTGTTGTTTTATCACCTATAATATGTTATGGCAATCTTCCATCAAAACGTTAACGATTGACAGTTCCACGACAAGGCTTTACCCGTGTGTTTGTAAACGTGGTATATTACAAAGTGATATTCATCAAGGATATACCACTAAGGATAAGATACTTAGTATCTCTGAAAATAATTGCAATTATTTTTTTTGCCTTGTTAGACTACTAGTTAAAGACACAATTTTAGATATCTTTATAAATTTCGTTTTATAAAAAATGATATTACAAAAAAACTGTATCACACATACAAATAATATGTAAATTTGTATGCTTCGTCAAATTTATATACTGTATATAATCGTTTACATAATTTGTTTTTGCTGTACCTGAATTCGGCCTAATTTAGTCTGAATTCAGAAATTGTTAGTTCTTTATTTTATAATTTAACAATTTTAAACAATTTTTTTACAATTTCTACATTAGATAATTTTGAATTTAGTAATATCAAAAAATTACAATAATTTTAACTATTTAAAATACATTTTATAAAATCAATACAGTTGTGTTTGTTGCAAGTTTTGAAACGTTTAATAATAAATAGGTATTACAGACATTTTAAGGCCGAGTTCGGGTACAGCAAAAACAAATCATGTAAATGAATGTATACAGTATATACATTTGGCAAAGCATAAAAATTTACACATTATTTGTATGTGTGATACAGTTTTTTTGTATTTTTTTAAGGTAAAATAGCATAAAAAAATATGAAAAAAACAAGTTTAGTATAAAAAATATAACACTGATTCTAGGAGTTGTTGTGGTAAAACAAAATGGCATTACCGACAAAAATTGTTTTTTGTAAATAATGTGTGTCGCCAGAAATCCAAAAAAAACTTTGTTCCAATAACACACGCGTACAATTAAATGTTTAATCAAGACTAGATGCGGATTGTCTACGAAATGACGCTTTCAAAATTTTCGCCAACGACAATCGTTCTGAGCCTAGTGGCCTTGTTGAGCCTGATTGCCTCATTGAGCACATCGGTACTATCGCTGACAACCGGTTACCATTACGACATGACGGTAAACCTAACGAGAGCAGACCAATACAGAGATTTGAAATGCACCTATCTGTTTGCTGCACTGACGCACATGCGACTAATAAAACTCATGCTGGATAACAAAAATAGGTGGACCAAACATGAGGTCAGTCTAGTGAGACACTACAACATCCGATCGGTGATATGCACATTGTACGACGTGGCGGACGTGGAAATTGGTTCGTTATGGCTGCTACTTTTGTACGATAGATCGTTGCAGTGTTTTTACGAACACAATTTCATCGAAATCAAGAACGAAGCCCACCAGACGGCGGCCAAGGATAGAGTGGTGGTCATCCACGATTACGTGATGGGCAATTTGCATAACGAATTGATGGCTGAAGGTTGTCCACCGGGCAATTGGTTTGATACGTACGAAATATGGTACGAGCGGCAGGTGCCTGTCATGCAAAACAGCAAACCTACATTTTACTATACCAATATGGAAGTGTTAAACAACTGCGACGAGTTCGGCAGACTGTTGGACACGAACAACGCGGAATTCACGCACGGGAAGCGGTACAGTGCGTTGAAATCCAGGCAACTGTTTCTCAAAAACCTAGGCACATACAGTAATTTAAAGAAAAAACTGCTAACCTCGTACGACGTAAAAGTCGTCTGGTACGGCACGTTCAAATTACTACAAAAAGACTGGCAGTACGCGCATTGGGAACTATATTCTCCTACGAACGGGTTGTTCAGCATCAAGAAATATTACAACGGAGTCTTTAGTCTGTTAAAATGCATCATGTACCGGCTGACGTGGAAACATTTATTGTTCGTCAATGAGTTAACGGGTCAACAAAGAGAATATTGCTTGAAAAATTGGCACGAATTGCTAGTGGATTTCCAGCAACTGTTACGCCTCCAAGACGATCCAGACCTTGTGGATTTGATGGCCGCCATTGACCGCCTCGGTAGCAACGATGTAGCCATAAACGACGTTATTAACCAGCTCCGGGATAATCTGAGCATGGTTAATGCATATCTCCAATGCATAGCCACCAACCGGATGACTCTGGAACCGGAAGAGTTCCCATTAAATGCGGATGAGGGCACTTACGGCCAAGCGGCAATCGATTGCATTATCGTGAAAACTGCACAGACTTTCATCAATGATCTCAAACACGAATTCCAAAAGGTCGATTTCGATGTAATCCGATCGATCGTGACGTTCATAGACGATGAGGATAAATGGTAAACGTTTCGGGGATTAGGTATTACAGTTATAATGTAATTATGTATTTTATTGTCAGTCAATGTTATACTGTCATGACCTAACTAAAGCAGGTTCTAAAATTAAATAGTATTAACAACAAGTAATTTGAAAAAAATTACTTGTTAACAAGTGACATCTTGTAAAACTTGTTAATTATTTATTAGCCGTATTTAACATTGTTATTAAAAAAAATATAAAAAATGAAATTATAAAAGTCTTGACATTTCTATAAAAGGTAAATTAAAATTAAAAAATACTTTCATTATCTAAAACCTACTGTTGTTTTATCACTTATAATATATTATGGCAATATTCCATCATAACGTAGAAAGATTAACAGTTTCAACGACAAGGCTTTACCCGAGTACATTACAGTGTTATTCATTAATGATTTGACACTCAGTATTTTTAAAATAAATGCAATTTTTTTAACCGTTTAAGTATACCAATGTTGTTCTCGCTATTTATTTATTGAAGTATGTAATGTGTTCAGTGTATGCATTTAATGTTCAGTCCTCATAACACCGAACCTACATCACATAAGACATTATATTTAAACAATTATTTTGTTTAAAGCGGTTTGTTAAGTTTGGATATACAGTTTAATTAATAACATATACTAGATAAATTTTAATTCCAAATTCGAATGCAGCATACATATTATTTGTCCAAATAATTGAATTTTACAGAATAATACTATTTTGATAAATGTAAAGATATTGAATAATATATATATGTTGATATAAACATTTAGAAAATATTAAAATTACTAGTTCGTTGTGCGAGTTCAGTAGTAACATTTTAGAATCTTGAAATATGCTGTGTGTGTGCATAGTATGTGTAATACAGCTTTATTGTATTTTTTTTAAGTTTAAAGACAAAACTATTTATGTAAAAACGAGTTAACAATTCAACTAAAGAAATACAAGATTACCCATAAGCGTAGGTGTGGAAAACAAACATGGCGGTATAAAAACATATGGTTCATACAAATAATGTTTGACGCCCGAGTTTTGAACCCGAAAATGAAACTGTACACAACTTAGTATCGAGACTAGATGCGAATTGTCGAAGAAATGACGCTTTTAAAACTATCGCCAAAGACAATCGTCTTGATCCTAGCGGTCTTGTTGAGCCTGATGGCCTCATGCAGCTCGCCGGTGCTGTCGCTGACAACCGGTTACGGCACGGACGAAAACCCGAATACGGCCAACCGGTACTTGAAATGCACTTATCTGTTTGCTGGACTTACGTACCTGCGATTAACGAGACTCATTCTGGAAGACCCGAACGTTCCTCTCAGAATCCCAATCGGTCTGGGGTGCAGCTACAACATCCGAGCGGTAATATGCACACTGTACGATGTGACCGATGTGGAAATTGGCTCGTTATGGCTGCAACTTTTGTTTTTATGCACGGTGCCGTGTTTTATACCTCACAACAATAACGGAGCTGGCCTGCCGATGGCTAGGTCCAGAATGATGGCCACCCTCAATTACGTGATAGGCAGAATGCAAAAAGAACTCTGGACTTCGGGTTGTCCAACAGGCAACCGGTTTGGCTGGTACGAAAACTGGTACGCGGAGCAGGCGGCTTTTATGCCGAGCGGCAAACCTGATTCTGACCGTATCCAAATAGCAGTGTTAAACATCTGCCAAGAGCTGAATGCACTATTGATCGCGAACAACGCGAAGATCACGTACGGGACGCGGTACAAAGCGCTGAAGTCCAGACAGCTGTTTCTCAACAATCTAGGCGTGAATGTAAACATCATATCCATGCTGTTTAACTCATACGGAGTAAAAGTCATCTGGTACGACACGATAGAATTACTACAACAAGACTGGCTGTACGCACACTGGAAATTGTACTCCCCAACGAACGGGTTGTTTAGCATCAAGAAGTATTACAGCGGGATCTTTAGTCTGTTCAAAGGCATCATGTACCGGTTGACGTGGAAACATTTATTGTACGTCAATGAGTTAACGGGTCAACGACAAGAAGATTGCTTGCAAAAGTGGCACGACTTGCTAGTAGAATTCCAGCAACTGTTACGCCTTCAAGACGATCCAGACCTCGTGAATTTACTAGTTGCCATCGACCGCCTCGGCAGCAAGGATGTAGCCGTAAACGACGTAATTAACCAACTCCGGGATAATCTGAGCATGGTTAACGCATATCTCCAATGCATAGCCACCAACCGGATGACTCTGGAACCGGAAGAGTTCCCATCGAGTGTGAATCTGGGTACGCCCGACCTAGCAGCAATCGACTGCAATACCTTGAAAAACGCACAAGCTTTCTTCGTTGATCTTAAGTACTTTTTCAAAAAGGTCGATTTCGATGTCATCCGATCGATCGTGACGTACATAGACGACGAGGATACATGGTAAACGTAGTGTGTATTATATGATAGAGTATTAATGTAATTATGTATTTTATTGTCAGGTAATGTATTATTTTCATGACCAAACTAAAGCAGTTTCTAAATTTAAATAGTATTAACCAGCTATGAAAAACCTGTTTAAATTAATTGTTAACCACTGACACCACTTGAATCTTTTTACTAATTTAACATTATTTAAAAAAAAAAACCAATAAAAAAACTTGTTTGATAATTAATAGTGTTAACAACTTATTCAAATTACATGTTAACAAGGGACATCTTGTAAAACTTGTTAATTATTTACTAGCTGTGTTTAATATTGTTATTTAAAAAATATAAAAAATATAATTATAAAAGACTTGACATTTCTGTAAAAGGTAAATTTAAATTTAAAAAATACTTATATTATCTAAAACCTACTGTTGTTTTATCACTTATAATTTATCATGGCAATATTTCATCATAACGTATAACGATTAACAGTTTCAACGACAAGGCTATACCCGAGTACATTACAGTGGTATTCATTAATGATTTGACACTCAGTATCTTTAAAATAAATGCAATTTTTTTAACCGGTTAAGTATACCAATGTTGTTCTCGCTATTTATTTATTGAAGTATGTAATGTGTTCAGTGTATGCATTTAATGCTCAGTCCTCATAACACCGTACCTACATCACATAAGACATTACATTTAAACAATTATTTTGTCTAAAGCAGTTTGTTAAGTTTGGATATACAGTTTAATTAATAATAAATACTAGATAAATTTTAATTCCAAATTCGAATGCAGCATACATATTATTTGTCCAAATAATTGAATTTTACAGAATAATACTATTTTGATAAATGTAAAGATATTGAATAATATATATATGTTGATATAAACATTTAGAAAATATTAAAATTACTAGTTCGTTGTGCGAGTTCAGTAGTAACATTTGTTGATATACAAATGTTACTACCAAACAAAATTATATATTTAGAACTATAACATTATAATATTTTTCACCAAACATTCGGAGAATAATAATAATTATACTAATTCATTGTGCGAGTTCAGATGTAACATTTTAGTATCTTGAAGATGGCCTGTGTGTGTGCGTAGTACATTTGATACAGTGTTTTTGGTTTTTTTTTTAGTTAAATATTAAAAAATTTATGAAAAAACAAGTTTAGTAAATAGTTATAAGATTACACTTAGGCGTGGTTGTGGTATACAAACATGGCGTTGTAGAAAAAATATGGTTTCTGTAAATAATATTTGGCGCCTATAGCCAAAAAAAAAAAAAACGTTGTTACAATAACACGGACAATTAACAGTTTAGGTACTATTCAATATCGAGTCAAGGTGCCGATTGTCGGCGAAATGACGCTTTCAAAATTATCTGCAACGACGATTGTCTTGAGCCTAGTGGCCTTGTTGAGCCTGATGGCCTCATTAAGCCCGCCGGTACTATCGCTGACAACCGGTTACTATCATGACATGACGGCAAACACGACGATGGCAGACCGGTTCAAAGATTTGAAATGCGGATATCTTTGTGCCGGACTGAAACACATGCGATTGATAAAAATCATACTTGAAGATCGAAACATACCTACCAGCACACCGGTCGAGCTATTGGTCAATTACAACATCCGAGCGGTGATATGCACACTGTACGGCGTGGCCGACGTGGAAATCGGCGTATTGTGGCTGCTCCTTTTGTACATGAGCACAGTGAAGTGTTATCACCAACAACTTATCGTCGACAAAGACAACGTAGCCGACCGGACTGCGGCCGTGGACAGACTGGTGGCCGTCCACGATTACGTGATAGGCAAAATGCAAAACGAATTGACGGCTGACGGTTGTCGACCGGGCAATTGGTTCGATTCATTCAAAAAATGGTACGCGTGGCAGGTGCTATGCATGCCGAGCCAAACACCTCATTTCTACTTTACCCAATGGGAAGTGTTAAACAACTGCTACAACTTGGACATACTTTTGACACACAACGCCATCAACACACAATTCACGTTTGGGGCGCTGTACGACGCGTTGTGGTCCACACAACTGTTTCTCAACAACCTGGGCATCAACCCAGTGCTCAAGTACAAGCTGTTATCCTCGTATGACGTAAAAGTCGTCTGGTACGGCACGTTCAAATTACTACAAAAAGACTGGCAGTACGCGCACTGGCAAATATACTCCCCTACGAACGGCTTGTTTAGCATCAAGAAATATTACCACGGAATCTTTAGCCTGTTCAAAGGCATCATGTACCGGCTGACGTGGCAACATTTATTGTTCGTCAATGGGTTAACGGATCAACAAAGAGAGTATTGTTTGAAAAAGTGGTACGAATTGCTAGTAGAATTCCAGCTACTGTTACGCCTCCAAGACGATCCAGACCTCGTGGATTTGATGGTCACCATCGACCGCCTCGTCAGTTACGACGTACTCATAAAAGACGTTATTAACCAGCTCCGGGTAAAGCTGAGCAAGATTAATGCATATCTCCAATGCATTGCCACCAACCGGATGACTCTGGAACCGGAGGATTTCCCTCCGAGAGTGGTTCACTTCATAAACGGCGAGGCAATCTATTGCAACAGCGTGAAAAACGCACAAATATTTATTAATGATCTTAAGTACGAATTCCAAATGGTCGATTTCGGTGTAATCCGATCGATCGTGAAGTACATAGACGACGAGAATAAGTGGTAAACGTTGTGTGCATTTGGTAATATAATTTTAATCTAATAATATATTGTATTGTCGGCAATGTTATATTATCAGCATCCAACCAAAGCAGGTTCGATTATTTAAAAGTAACTTTATTATATTATTATAAAAATACTTGAAATTGCTGTAAAATTTAAATAAAAAACTTCATTATCTACAGGCTACTGTTTTTGTATCACCTATAATATGTTATGGCAGTCCTCCATCAAAACGTTAACGATTGACAGTTCCACAACAAGGCTTTACCCGAGTGTGTGTAAACGTGGTATATTACAGAGTGATATTCATCAAGGATATGCCACTAAGGATAAGATACTTAGTATCTCTGAAAATAATTGCAATTATTTTTTTTGCCTTGTTAGACTACTAGTTAAAGACAAAATTTTAAATATCTTTATAAATTTCGTTTTATAAAAAATGATATTATAAAAAAGAATAAGTTTATTACTTAGTTTCTACACTTACAAACTATAAGGAACTACTTTCAACAATAGTCAATACTATAAGAAAAGACACTGTTTAATGCTGTTCTTGTGTAGTTGAACAGCCTGTTAATATGATAATCTATCTTTGCTGATAAACGTTGAGTACACACATATAAACATTTGATATTACTAAATTCAGAATTACCTAATGTAGAAGTTGTAGAAATATTGTTTAAAATTGTTAAATTTAAGCATACTAGTTTACATATTATTTGTATAAGTGTGGTAAAAACACATGGTGTTACAGAATAATCTGGTTTTTGTAAATAATGTTTGTCGCCAGAAATTCAACATAAACTTTGTTACAGCAACACAATACGCGTACAATTAACTGTTAAATCGAGACTAGGCGCGGATTGTCGACGAAATGACGCTTTCAAAATTCTCGCCAACGACAAATGTTCTGAGCCTAGTGACCTTGTTGAGCCTGATGGCTTCATTAAGCCTGCCAGTACTATCGCTGACAACCGGTTACCGTTATGACATGACGGTAAACCAGACGAGAGCAGACCAATACAGAGATTTAAAATGCACCTATCTGTTTGCTGCACTGACGCACATGCGACTAATAAAACTCATGCTGGATAACAAAAAAAACTGGACCAAACATGAGGTCAGTCTAGTGAGACGCTACAACATCCGATCGGTGATATGCACACTGTGGATATAACACTGTGGACATAACCTACCAAGGATAGAGTGGTGGTCATCCACGATTACGTGACGGGCAGTCTGCATAACGAATTGATGGCTGAAGGTTGTCCACCGGGCAATTGGTTTGATACGTATGAAATATGATACGAGCGGCAGGTGCCTGTCATGCAAAACGGCAAACCTACATTTCACTATACCAATATGGAAGTGTTAAACAACTGCGACGAGTTTGGCAGACTGTTTGACACGAACAATGCGGAATTTACGCATGAGAAGCGGTACAGTGTGTTAAAATCCAGGCAACTGTTTCTCAACAACCTAGGCATATACAAAAATTTTAAGAAAAAACTGCTAACCGCGTATGACGTAAAAGTCGTCTGGTACGGCACGTATAAATTGCTGCACAAAGACTGGCAGTACGCGCACTGGGAACTATATTCTCCTACGAACGGGTTGTATAGCATCAAGAAATACTACAACGGGGTTTCGTCAATGAGTTAACGGGTGAACGCCGAGACGATTACTTGAAAATATGGCACGACTTGCTAGTGGATTTCCAGCAACTGTTACGCCTCCAAGACGATCCAGACCTCGTGAATTTGCTGGTCGCCATTGACCGCCTCGGCAGCAACAATGTAGTCATAAACGACGTTATTAACCAACTCCGAGATACTCTGAGCATGGTTAACGCATATCTCCAATGCATAGCCACCAACCGGATGACTTTGGAACCGGAAGAATTCCCTTTTGAGTACGGATCAGGACACGGCCGGCCAGCGGCAATCGACTGCAATACCGTGAAAACCGCGCAGACTTTCATCGATGATCTCGAGTACGAATTCCAAATGGGCGATTTTGATGTCATCAGAGCGATCGTGACGTTCATAGACGACGAGGATAAATGGTAAACGTTGTGTTGATTAGGTATTATAGTAATAATGTAATTATGTATTTTTTTGTCAGTCAAGTTATATTGTCATGACCTAACTAAAGCATGTTCAAATATTAAATAGTATTAACCACCTACGAAAAACCTATTCAGTTTACTTATTAACCACTGACACCTTGTGAAATTTGGTTATTTATTATTTTTATCAAGCCTAAATAATATTGTTTTCGTGAAAAATTAATATACCACCGGGATGGTTTTAATAGTTTAGTAATAACATATTAGAATCTACAATTGAGCTGTGTGTGCATAGTATATGTGATACAGAATTTTTGTATTTTTTTTCAATAAATAACATAAAATTATATGAAAAAAATAAGCTTAGGAAATATATATAAGACAAATTCTAGGCGTAGGTGTGGTAAACAAACTAAGCGTTAAAGAGAAAATATTTGTATTATTTTTTGTTTAAACGGGCAATGCCCAAGAAAAAATTATAGTACAAGATCGTTTAGTGTAAATCTAAAATTCTGAAAAAAAGAATAGGTTTATAATAAGTAATAAAAAAACGGACTAGTAGAATATAATCATAAGCTATTTATAACATTATTAAGATACATATAAAAAAGTGGAAAGTTATTTTTATAAAATAAGTCAACATTTAGCTTATTCACATGGCCCAATTATCTCGCTATCGGAGCTTTTATATAATTATATGGTTATATTATAATATGGATTCTGTAAAAAATGTTCGGTGACCTAGTTTTAAAACCAAACAATTAACCTTACAATTTAGATTGCGTCTAGATGCAGAAAGTCGGCAAAATGACCAAATTTGACATCAGAATATTTTTTGGCTGGGGGTTTACTACGAAAATCTGTGCGTGCGTGATGCTGAGCGTTACCGTAGAAAATTGTAAGTGTGGCGCGATGTAGCTGTTGTTTTTTGAATGAAAGAACTGATAAATAATTATCTGATAAGGGATTAGAGATATGTTATTGGGTTGGGGATGAGGATGGGGTTGGGGATGGGGATGGCAATGGGGTAGGGAATAGGGATTCGGGTGTAGATGGAGTTGTAGTTGAAGTTGGAGTTAGTTCTGCTCCGTTTGGTCCGCGTAAGTCGACCAAATAAATTGTAATTTCATTGTTTTCTCATACATGTCTGCTACGGTATTTCTGGTTCCGACCACAAAGTGAATGTTGCCAATAAATTGATTAAGGCCAAATATTAAAAAACTACTAAACAAACTATACGCCAACAAAAAAAAAAAGATTTTAAAATCAGAAAATTAGAAATGTAGCAACACTTAAATTGACATTTTCTCGGTCATAAGACATGTATACATGTGCCTATTTAACCGCTTGTAATGTGGATACAATGATTTTTTTTTTAAAGGCTCGAAAAATCACAAAACTTAACTCAGAATTTTTTAGTTTTTATTTTATAACATTACAATTATAAACATTTTTTTTACTACTTCTACATTAAATCTGAATTTAGTTACATCAAAAATTTACAATAATATAATCTATTTAAAATACATTTTATAAAATCAATAAATTTAATTATAACATACAATACGCGCTAAATATACAACAAATTTGTATTTGTTAAAAGTTTTAAACTCTTTATTAACAAATACTAGATAATTTGTATGGCCAAATTCGAACGCAGCATACAAATTTACATATTATTTGTCCTAACTCTCTACAAAAAATGTTGATTAAAGCATTTTACAGAATAATATTGTTAGAATAAAATCCTTATTCAGAAGCGTATCAAATAATAAAAGGGTTGAATAAGTACAACAAATAACATTTTTAATATCAATATGTGAACACGTTTAAGTAAAAACGACGACCCTCTTCCAATAACAATAATTAAATACTCGGTATACACGGAGTATAAAATATGCTTACTAAGAATTATATCGACCTACTAACTATGTAATATAATATGGTGTTTGGTTTATAATTCCAACAAATATTTTTTGACAAATATAAAGATATTGTAATATCTTGTAATAATAATAATATATATATATATGAACATTTGGAAAAAATAAAAAATACTAGTTCGTAGTAACAGTAGTTCAGAGTTCAGTAGCAACATTTTATAATCTTGAAATGTGCTATGTGTGTGCATAGAATGTGTGATGTATTTTTTAGAAGTGTTTTTGTATTTTTTTAAAGTTAAACAACAACAAATTGTACGTAAAAACAAGTTTATGAACATGGCATTAAAGACAAAATTTGGTTTCTGTAAATAATGTTTGGCGACCGAGTTTTAAACCCAAAAAACAAACCTTACAGTAGAGTATCGTATCTAGGTGTGAATTATCGACGAAATGTCGCTTTCAAAATTATCGCCAACGACAATCGTTCTGAGCCTAGTGGTCTTGTTGAGCCTGATATCCACATTAAGATCGCTGACCACAGGTTACGATTATGGCACGGACGAAAACCAAAATATGGCCGACCGGTAGAGAGAATTAAAATGCACTTATCTGTTTGCTGGACTGACGTACCTGCGATTAACAAAATTCATGCTGGAAGACTTAAACGTTCCGATCAGAGTCCTACGCGGTCTAGTGGGTCACTACAACATCCAAGCGGTCATATGTACTTTGTACGACGTGACCGATGTAGAAATCGGCACGTTGTGGCTGCAACTCTTGTACGCGAGCACGATGCAGGGTTTTGTCCCCTACAACAAGCGCGAACGAAATCCCAAGGAGCTGGCGGCCAGGCTGTTGGTCATCCTCCATTACGTGATAGGCAAAATGCAAATAGAACTGTCAGCTGCCGGTTGTCCATCTGGCAATCTATTTGACTCATACGAAAAATGGTACGCGCGGCGGCCGGCTTTAATGCCGGTGGGTAAAGCTCATTTTTACTATACCCATAAAGCAGTGTTAAACATCTGCCTCAAGCTGGACAGACTGTTGAACGCCAATATCGCAGAATCCACGTACGAGACGCGGTACAACGCGTTGATGTCTAAACAGCTGTTTCTCAACAATCTAGGCATGAACGATACGCTCAAGTCCATGCTGTTAAACTCATACAGCGTAAAAGTCATCTGGTACGACACGATGAGAATACTACAAACAGACTGGCTCTATGCACACTGGCAATTGTACAACCCAACGAATGGGTTGTTTAGCATCAAGAAACATTACAATGGGGTCTTTAGTCTATTCAAAGGCATTATGTACCGGCTGATGTGGAAACATTTATTGTACGTCAATGAGTTAACGGGTCAACGCCGAGACGATTACTTGAAAAAGTGGCACGACTTGCTAGTAGAATTCCAGCAACTATTACGCCTGCAAGACGATCCAGACCTCGTGGATTTGCTGGTTGCCATCGACCGCCTCGGCAGCAACGATGTAGTCATAAACGACGTTATTAACCAGCTCTGGGATAATCTGAGCATGGTTAATGCATATCTCCAATGCATAGCCACCAACCGGATGACTCTGGAACCGGAAGAGTACCCACCGAGTGCGGATCAGGACACGACCGGCCAAGCGGCAATCGACTGCAATACCGTGAAAACCGCGCAGACTTTCATTGATGATCTCAAGTATCATTTCCAAATGGTCGATTTCGATGTAATCCGATCGATAGTGACGTACATAGACGACGAGGATACATGGTGAACGGTGTGTGTATTAGATAATATAGTATTAATGTAATAATATATTGTATTGTCAGGCAGTGTTATATTTTCATGATCTAACTAAAGCATGTCCAAAACATGCTTTATATACCGCAAAAGTGTTTTTTTTCTAAATAATTGTTTTCTATAGCCAGTTATAGCCTATAGTCTATAGCCAGAACGGTGTGTGTATTTGGTAATATAGTATTAATGTAATAATATATTGTATTGTCAGGTAATGTATTATTTTCATGACCAAACTAAAGCAGTTTCTAAATTTAAATAGTATTAACCAGCTATGAAAAACCTGTTCAAATTAATTGTTAACCACTGACACCACTTGAATCTTGTTACTAATTTAACATTATTTAAAAAAAAAACCAATAAAAAAACTTGTTTGATAATTAATAGTGTTAACAACTTATTCAAATTACATGTTAACAAGGGACATCTTGTAAAACTTGTTAATTATTTACTAGCCGTATTTAATATTATTATTAAAAAAAATATAAAAATATAATTATAAAAGACTTGACATTTCTGTAAAAGGTAAATTAAAATTAAAAAAATACTTCTAAAATCTAAAACCTACTGTTGTTTTATCACTTATAATATATTATGGCAATATTTCATCATAACGTTTAACGATTAACAGTTTCAACAACAAGGCTTTACCCGAGTATGTGTAATACTCAGTCCTCATAAGTTCCCATCGAGGGCCGATCAGAAAATATTAATAATACTAACTGATTATGCGAGTTTAGTTGTAACATTTTAGAATCTATGTGCTGTATAGCTATGTGTGTGATACAGTATTTTTTTTTTTTTAAGTAAAACAGCATAAAAGTATATGAAAAAACAAGATTACTAAATAAGTAGAAGACTAACTCTAGTCGTTGGTGTGGTAAAACAACACGGCGTTATGGAAAAAATCTGGTTTCTGTAAATAATGTTTGTCGACCGAAACAAAAAAAAATTTGTTACAGTAACACAATACGCGTAAAATTGACAGTTTAGTTACAATTCAATATTGAGACTAGGTGCTGATTGTCGACGAAATGACGCTTTCAAAGTTATCGCCAACGACGATTGTTTTGAGCCTAGTGGCCTTGTTGAGCCTGATGACCACATTAGGCCCGCCAGTACTATCGCTGACAACCGGTTACTATGTTAACATGACGGCAAACCCGACGAGAGCAGACCTGTACAGAGATTTGAAATGCACTTATCTGTTTGCTGGACTGACGAACATGCGATTAATACAACTCATCCTGGAAGATATCAAAATTCCGATCAGAATCCCAATCGGTCTATTGAACACCTTCAACATCCGAGCGGTGATATGCACACTGTACGGCGTGGCCGACGTGGAAATCGGTTCGTTGTGGCTGCTACTTTTGTACGACAGAACGATCCAAAGTTTTTACAAACACAATTTCGTCAAAAACAATAACGAAACCCACCATACGGCGGCCAAGGACACACTGATGGTCATCCACGATTACGTGATTGGCAGTTTGCATAACGAATTATTGAATGACGGTTGTCGAACGGGCAATTGGTTCGATTCGTACGAAGAAAGGTTGCGGCAGGCGGCTGAAATGCCAAATGGCAAAACTACATTTTACAATATCAAAATGGAAGTGTTAAACAACTGCGGCGATCTGGGCAAACTGTTGTACGCGAACAAAGCGGAATCCAAATACGGAACGCGATACGAAGCGATGAAGGCCGGACCACTATTCATCACCAATCTGGGCGTCGACCATTCGATCAAGTCCAACCTGATGACCAAATACGGCATAAAAGTCGTCTGGTACGACACGTTCAAATTACTACAACAAGACTGGCTGTACGCGCACTTGCAACTATACTCTCCTACAAACGGGCTGTTTAGCATCAAGAAATATTACAACGGGATCTTCAGTCTGTTCAAATGTATCATGTACCGGCTGACGTGGAAACATTTATTGTACGTCAATGAGTTAACGGGTCAACAAAGAGAATATTGCTTGAAAAAGTGGCACGACTTGCTAGTGGATTTCCAGAAACTATTACGCCTCCAAGACGATCCAGACCTCGTGAATTTGCTGGTCACCATTGACCGCCTCGGCAGCAACGATGTAGCCATAAACGACATAATTAACCAGCTCCGGGATAATCTGAGCATGGTTAACGCATATCTCCAATGCATAGCCACCAACCGGATGACTCTGGAACCGGAAGAGTTCCCACCGAGCGCGGTTCAGGACACGACCGGCCAAGCGGCAATCGACTGCAATACCGTGAAAACCGCGCAGACTTTCATTGATGATCTCAAGTATCATTTCCAAATGGTAGATTTCGATGTAATCCGATCGATAGTGACGTACATAGACGACGAGGATACATGGTGAACGGTGTGTGTATTAGATAATATAGTATTAATGTAATAATATATTGTATTGTCAGGCAGTGTTATATTTTCATGACCTAACTAAAGCATGTCCAAAACATGTTTTAAATACCGCAAAAGTGTTTTTTTTTCTAAATAATTGTTTTCTATAGCCATTCAGCTTTTCATAATTGGGGACACTGTGTGTTTTGGTTACATGTCAATTGATAACAAAAGATTTATTGTTTTATATTGTCACATGTCTGAAGTAAAAACGGTTTTCTATACGTTTACTGCCAGTGATCTACGTATGTCCCTAACCCCAAAAACCTTACAAAATATTCTAATTATAAGAAATTATTACATCTATTCTAAATCTAAGGTGTAACTATCATAAATTGTTGATTGTACTTGTTTTTAAAAATGTAATATATTGGACATATAATATTTATTTTATAATTTATTCAAGCCTAGAGTTCATTGCATCTGATTATCGTATGTCTCTATCTTATACAATTTTGATTGTAAGAAATAATTTATAATTGTATTTATTTAAAACCATATTTTCTTCAACAATTAAATTAAATTATTATTTTGTTGTGAAATCATTATTATGAGTTATAATATTATGTGTGTCATTACTGTATTAGTACTGAAAAGTTGATTGTATATCTTAATAATTTGCTTAGTCAAGAGATAATCTGAGCATGGTTAACGCATATCTCCAATGCATAGCCACAAACCGGATGACTTTGGAACCGGAAGAGTTCCCACTGAGTGCGCATCAGGACACGACCGGCCAAGCAGCAATCGATTGTAATACCGTGAAAACCGCGCAGACTTTCATCGATGATCTCGAGTACGAATTCTAAATGGTCGATTTTGATGTCATCAGAGCGATCGTGACGTACATAGACGACGAGGATACATGGTGAATGGTGTGTGTTTTTGGTAATATAGTATTAATGTAATAATATATTGTATTGTCAGGCAGTGTTATATTTTTATTACGTAACAAAAGCCGGTTCTAAAATTAAATTGTATCAACAACCTTTTCAAATTACTTGTTAACAAGTGACATCTTGCAAAACGTGTTAATAATTTATTAGACGTACGACATTGTTATAAAAAAAAAATATAAAAAATATAACTTTAAAAGACTTGACGTTTCTGTAAAAGGTAAATTAAAATTAAATAAATACTTTCATTATCTAAAACCTATTATTGTTTTATCACTTATAAAATATTATGGCAATATTCAATCATAACGTATAACGATTAACAGTTTCAACGACAAGGCTTTACCGGAGTATGTGTAATGATCAGTCTTCATAACACCGAACCTACATCACCTAAGACATTATACTTAAACAATTATTTTGTTTAAAGCAGATTGTAAAGTTTGAATATACAAATACTAGAGAATTCCAAATTCGAATGCAGCATACATATTATTTGTCCTAACGCTTAACGAAAACCTTTGATTAAAGAATTGTACAGAATAAAATCATTTTGATAAATATAGAAGTATTGAATAATATATAGGTGTAGATATAAACATTTGGAAAATATTAAAATTACTAGTTCGTTGTGCGAGTTCAGTAGTAATACATTTTAGAATCTTGAAATGTGCTGTGTGTGTAAATAGTATGTGTGATACAGTATTTTTGTATTTTTTTTAAGTTAAATAACAACAATATGTGTAAAAACAAGTTTACAAAAATGGCATTAAAGAAAAAATTTGTTTTCTGTAAATGTTTAGCGACCGAGTTTTAAACCAAAAAAACAAATCTTACAGTAGAGTATCGTATCTAGGTGTGAATTATCGAAGAAATGTCGCTTTTAAAATTATCGCCAAAGACGATTGTCTTGATCCTAGCGGTCTTGTTGAGCCTGTTGGTCTCATGCAGCTCGCCGGTGCTGTCGCTGACAACCGGTTACGGCACGGACGAAAACCCAAATACGGCCAACCGGTACTTGAAATGCACTTATCTGTTTGCTGGACTTACGTACCTGCGATTAACGAGACTCATGCTGGAAGACACAAACGTTCCCCTCAGAATCCCATGCGGTCTAGGGTGTCAATACAACATCCGAGCGGTGATATGCACTTTGTACGACGTGGCTGACGTGGAAATCGGCTCGTTGTGGCTGCAACTCTTGTACTTGTGCACGGTGCCGTGTTTTATTCTTTACAACAATAACGAAGCCGACCTGCCGTTGACTAGGTCCAGAATAATGGCCGTCCTCAATTACGTGGTAGGCAGAATGCAAAAAGAACTGTGGGGTTCAGGTTGTCCGACAAGCAACTGGTTTGACTCGTACGAAAACTGGTACGCAGAGCAGGCGGCTTCAATGCCCAGCGGCAAACCTGATTTTTACAATACCCATAAAGCAGTGTCAGACATCTGTCGAGAGCTGCAAACACTGTTGAACGCGAACAAAGCACAACTTACGTACGGGAAGCGGTACGAAGCGCTGAGGTCCAGACAGCTGTTTCTCAACAATCTAGGCACGAATGTAACGTACATGTCCATGCTGTTAAACTCATACAGCGTAAAAGTCATCTGGTACGACACGATGAAATTACTTAAACAAGACTGGATGTACGCACACGGCCAATTGTACTCCCAAACGAACGGGTTGTTCAGCATCAAGAAGTATTACAACGGGATCTTCAGTCTGTTCAAAGGCATCATGTACCGGTTGACGTGGAAACATTTATTGTTCGTCAATGAGTTAACGGGTCAACGCCGAGAAGATTGCTTGAAAAAGTGGCACGACTTGCTTGTGGATTTCCAGCAACTGTTACGCCTCCAAGACGATCCAGACCTCGTGGATTTGCTGGTTGCCATCGACCGCCTCGGCAGCAACGATGTAGTCATAAACGACGTTATTAACCAGCTCCGGGGTAATCTGAGCATGGTTAACGCATATCTCCAATGCATAGCCACCAACCGGATG